AATGGGTAAATGATAAATATAATCGTGTCTAGTTCTAGAACTGGAGTATTGTGTATAGCAAATGTGGGTAAGGAGTTGTACAGTTCTTACATCATTTGGGAATCAAGAAGAGAACTATAAAGCTAGCCTTGGCTTTTGTGCATGAAACGGAGGAGGAGGTTTTTGGTCCGTGTCCCCATGAGAGCGATTTGTCTAAGTACCACTGTCAAACAAGTCAACGTGATAAAATTGTCCTGTGTGACCCTTCTGTACCTTATATTGGTTACTCTCAATTTTTTAAGAACATACAGGGAGAATTTCATCTCTTTCCCTAATCAAAGGTATCACGAAAGAAGAATATTTCAAATTATGTTTATTTGGCTTATAGCAGGGCTCATAAATGCCAGTCATTTTTCATCTTTATTATATTGGTCAGTCTGAAAATTATGTGAGTATATAGTTTGCCTTAAAATGTGCTAGGTCTTCCTTAATCATCATTAATGACTAGAATTTTAGTACTCCTTGTGTTGTGTAGGGAAGGAGCATTGGGTTAGAAGTCAGAACTGTAGGACTGTGATTCTGATTGGACCGCTTACTGGATGTGGGACCTGGAACACCACACAAGCAGTGAGGTTGAGCCACATGGCCTTTTAAATCCTTCCCAACTCTTCAAAAATTAGATTCAGATGTTTTAGACCAAATTGGTCACTGCAGAGTTTCTTCACTTTTGTCTTGGGATCTTTTCGAACCCCTTTAGAATGTAGCAGGCTGGGGCCGGCGCCGCGGCTCAATAGGCTAATCCTCCACCTAGCGGCGCCAGCACACCAGGTTCTAGTCCCGGTCGGGGCACCGGATTCTGTCCCAGTTGCCCCTCTTCCAGGCCAGCTCTCTGCTGTGGCCCAGGAAGGCAGTGGAGGATGGCCCAAGTGCTTGGGCCCTGCATGTGCATGGGAGACCAGGAGGAAGCACCTGGCTCCTGGCTTCGGATCAGCGCGGTGCGCCGGCTGCAGCGCGCCAGCTGTGGCGGCCATTGGAGGGTGAACCAACGGCAAAAGGAAGACCTTTCTCTCTCTCTCTCTCTCTCTCTCTCTCACTCACTCACTCACTATCTACTCTGCCTGTCCAAAAAAAAAAAAAAAAAAAAATGTAGCAGGCTGGTACATGAGCTGTGCTGACAAGGTTTTCTCACCAGCTTTTTTTTTTTTTTTTTAAGGTTTATTTATTTGAAAATCAGAGTTAGAAGAAGACACAGATCTTTTATCTGCTGGTTCACTCCGCAGATGCCACAACAGTCAGTGCTGGGCCAGGCCAAAGCCAGGAGCTTTATCTGGGTCTCCCTCAATGGTGCCAAGAGCCCAAATACTTGGGCCATCTTCCCCTGCTTTTCCCACACCATTAGCAGGGAGCTGGATTGGAAGTAGAGCAACCAGGACTTGAACTGGCACCTATATGGGATGCTGGCATCATAGATGGTCGCTTTATCTGCTAAGTCAGAATGCGAGCCCCCCCAGCCATGTTTTGAAATGCACCTGTGATCCTGTATCAGCAATAGAAGCTGGGAGTGCTTCCAAGCAGTGGTTCCTGTGCACAGACCACAATGCTTTGCATCCAGAGACCTTGTAGCCTAGGAGCCAGGACCTCATTCTGGGTCTCCCATGTGGGTAGCGGGGGGCCCAAGTACTTGAGTCATCATTGCTTCCTCCCAGGATGAGCGCCTGCAGGAAGCTGAATCTGAAGTGGAGCCAGGACTCAAAACTCAGGGTCTCTGATACGGGATGCGGATGTCCTAGGTGGCGTCTCAACTGCTGTGTCAAATGCCTGCCCCTGAACTCTTAGTTCTGATTAGAAGTTAGTCACCGTTCGTATCAGTCTCCTGTATTATTATGTTATTTTTTTCTGACTGCTTTCAAGATTTTTCTCTCACCTTTGTGTTAACAATTGGATTATGATTTGCTTGGGGGTGCTTTTCTTACCCTGTTTGGCATTATTGTGCTTCTTGGATATGTAAGTTCATGTCTTTCTCTGGTTTGGGGAAGTTTTGGGTCATTACTTTTTTTTTTTTTTTTTTTTACAGACAGAGATCAGACAGGCAGAGTGGACAGTGAGAGAGAGAGACAGAGAGAAAGGTCTTCCTTTGCCGTTGGTTCACCCTCCAATGGCCGGCGCACCGCGCTGATCCGATGGCAGGAGCCAGGTGCTTTTCCTGGTCTCCCATGGGGTGCAGGGCCCAAGCACTTGGGCCATCCTCCACTGCACTCCCTGGCCACAGCAGAGGGCTGGCCTGGAAGAGGGGCAACCGGGACAGAATCCGGCGCCCCGACCGGGACTAGAACCTGGTGTGCCGGCGCCGCTAGGCGGAGGATTAGCCTAGTGAGCCGCGGCGCCGGCCTGGGTCATTACTTTTTCAAATATTTTTTATCTGCAGTAACACATTATTAAACTGTAAGATAGGCTCTAGTCATACTTTTCTTCAGATTGGATATTTCTTTATTTCTTTATTTAACCGCAGTTCCACTGACTCATTTTTCTTCTGTCTTCTGTTAAATTTATATATAACTTTTTAATTTTTTCAGCTTAGAATTTCCATTTGAGCCAGCACCACGGCTCACTTGGCTAATCCTCTGCCTGTGGCACCAGCACCCCGGGTTCTAGTCCCGGTTGGGGCATCAGTCCTGTCCCAGTTGCTCCTCTTCCAGTCCAGCTCTCTGCTGTGGCCCAGGAAGGCAGTGGAGGATGGCCCAAGTGCTTGGGTCCTGCACCCGCATGGGAGACCAGGAGGAAGCACCTGCTTCCTGGCTTTGGATCAGCGCAGCACCGGCTGTGACGGCCATTTTGGGGGTGAACCAGCGGAAGGAAGACCTTTCTCTCTTTCTTTCTCTCACTGTCTAACTCTGCCTGTCAAAAAAATAAATTTCCATTTGATTCTTTCTATAAATTTAATAAAGCATTTTTTATTGTGACAAGATACATGTAAGATGGAAATCAGCGTCTGTTTGTAAGCATGCAGTTCAGTGGCGTTACGTACATTTGTGTTGCTGAGCAGCCATCGCGACATCTGTCCCCAGAACCCTTCATCCTGAACAACTGAAGCTCTGTGTTTGGTTCTTTTAAAATAGCGTCTGTTTCTCTCTTTGCCTTCTGTTTACTTCTTATTCATATAATTTGCTTTCTGTGCTGTAAAACCCTTTTCTGCTAATTGCTACATCTGGGTCACATCTGGGTCATCTTAGTATTGGTCTCTATAGGCTCCATTTTTTTTCTTGAGATGACTATATTTTCTTGTTTCTTTCCACCTCTAATGACTTTTGATTGAACACTAGACATCATGCATGATATGTTATAGAGAATCTGGATTCTGTTATGATCTGAAGAATTTTTTTTTTTTTTGTAGCAGGTTGGTATGGCAGGATTCAAGCAGGCTCTGAACTCCTGCCTCCCCTGCATCTCCTGTCCAATCAGTTCTCCGTCTTCAGCTGCTGCTTTTTTGCTGGGCCCTCTCTGGTTTCCAGCCAAGAATTTTAGTACATTTTGTTTCCAGACTTGGGAAGTTCACTTCATCTTTGAATACTGCCTTTCAGAATTTCCTTAGCTTTGTTTTTCTAGCCCTGTACTCTGTTTTCTTTGACCATGCCTCTTGGGGATTGATGTATGCCCTCAGGCAAAAATTACAACTCTCACCAGGTATAGTTCTTCTTTTGAAAGTAGACTCTCTTTCACTTTCTACTTGATTTGGACATTTCCTGTGCTTTCAAATTATTTTAAAGATTTATTTATTTATTTGAAAGGCAGAATTACAGAGAGGCAGAGAAAGGTCTTCCTTCCACTGGTTCACTCCCCAGATGGCCACAATGGCCAGAGCTACGCCGATCCAAAGCCAGGAGCTCCTGGTCTCTGGATCTGCCACGTGGGTACAGGGGCCCAAGGACTTGGGCCACCTTCTACTGCTTTCCCAGGCCACAGCAGAGAGCTAGATCGGAAGTGGAGCAGCTGGATCTTGAACTGGCATCCATATGGGATACTGGCATGTAGGCGGTGGCTTTGCCCGCTACCCCAGCATGGCTGGTTTCTGATGAGGTCTCTTCTCCTTGGCTTGTCACTTCTGACTGCCTTCTCACTGTGTCTTCACATGGCCTCTCCCTGTGCACATGCCGTCCTGGTGTCTCTTCCTCTTATAAGGACACTCTGACTTCATTTAATCTGTTACCACCTTAAAGCATTAAAGGTCTTGTCCCCAAGTGCGGTCCCCCTGGGGGTTAAGGCTTCAACTTGGGAATTTGGAGTGGGGGCATAGCTCAGTCCATAACAAGAGAGTTACCCAGGCTCGGACGATGTGAGAACAGGTCGGGGAGGCAGAGCTGTGCTGTGAGAATGGTGTTAGGACCTGGTAATGGTCATTCTGTCGGTGCAGAGTGCCTGCTGCGTCCCAGGCACAGTGTGATATGCTGGCGGTTCAGCTGTGGACAAGACTTGTCCTGTCCCTGCCCTTCTGGAACTTGTAGCCTAGCAAAACACAGCTGCTGAGCAGTGAAGGACAGCTGCTGAGCGGTGAAGTAGAGGACATGTTGGGTGTTCGGGGAAGGCTGAGGAGGGGTACCCATAAAGTTAAGGGATCGGGGAAGGATGAGTAAGGAGTCGGCTGTGAGAGATAGGTGCTTCAGACCAGGCATATGGACTGCGAAGGTGAGTGGCTGCAGGCTTGGGAAGTGCATTGGTGGAGCAGGACCTGTGGGAATTGGGAAGTGGAGTGGTGAGGGATGGACCAGAGGGGACGATTGGGGTCAGACTCCCTTCAGGGATTGTAACTGCCTTCCCTTCTGGATAGGAGTCTCCACAAAGACATTAAACAGTGTCTCTGTGTCCTCTGCCCAGTAGGATGGGGTGTGTAGGGAAGGTTTACAGGTGCCTTTTATGATTGGGAGTGGGGGTTGGTGTGCTGGGATGTCACGTCCCAGGAAAGGCAGGTGCGCACCTAGCGGTTGCTGCATGGTGCCCTGGATCATATGGTGCTTTGTTCTTGTCAGGCCTGGACAGCGAGTCTGCCTCCAGCAGCATCCGCTTCAGCAAGACCTGCCTGAAGAACGTCTTCTCAGTCCTGCTTATCTTCATCTACCTGCTGCTCATGGCCGTGGCTGTCTTCCTGGTCTACCAGACCATCACGGACTTTCGTGAGAAACTCAAGCACCCTGTCATGTCCGTGTCCTACAAGGAGGTGGATCGCTATGATGCCCCAGGTAGGGCCCTCCCAGACCAGGCGTCAGAGCATCCACTGGCAAACCCTCCCTGAGCCACTGCTGTTGCACAGGACACAGTGCTGGGCGCTCTGGGCAGGGCGAGGGAGCCCGAGTGCAGTCTGGATGCAGCGCACTCACCTGAGAGCTGCTGTCAGGCCCAGCGGGGTGTGGTGTGTGCCACGGAGGGGCGCGAGCCCAGGAGGTCGGGGAAAGCTTTGCAGAGGTAGGTTTGGAGCTGGGCTTGAAAACAAGAGTATGGTTGGGAAGAGAGTGCTTCTGGGAAGAGGGTCAAGGAGAGGGGAGGGAGGCAGAGGGCTTCTGGATAGGAGGCCAGCCTGACTAGAGCCAGAGGCCAGAGGTGATGATAAGGAGGAATCCCAGCTGGACTATGCGGTGCAGAGGGTGGCTAGGATGGCAAGGCCATTAGATGGTGGGCAGGGGCTCCCAGGCCACACCATGTATTCCTTCCCTGTCCCATTGGGCGTCTGGTCCCCAGTGGGAAGTTGTCTCTGCTACAAAGTGTTCTGTCTGCTCTGCTATGGAGCTGGTGCCAGGCACGCTGGAAGCCATGGAGTGAATGCGGAAGCTCAAGCGCTGTGGCTCAGGCTCTTCCCACTTGGTTTTGTCCACAAGGTGCCCCTGAGTGACTCCCAGGTGGCATGCTCACAGAACTAGAGCTGAACCCCTCTGCCTGGGGCTTCTTACAGCCCCCAGTGTAGCTGATGGTGCCGGTCACTGCTCCTCACTCTGGCTTTGCCATCGTCTTGTATTTGCCCTTCTGTGTTTGCTTCAGTCTCATCATCTATGGGTTTTCCTTGCTCTGTCTAGTCTCTTGGTCTCTCTGAACTTTGATGCCAAGTGCTGCTCTCAGCATCTCTGTCTTTGAAGCTGGGCAGCTACTCTGAGTAGAGCCTTGGATGAGATGCTGGGGCAGGGGCGCGGGGAGGCAGGAGCTACCAGGACGTGCCTCATGCTGGAGCTCCGTCAGAGAAGAGATGAGAGACAGTGATTTCTGGGGAATCTCATGACCCAGAGCCTCTTGGCATATGCGTATGTGGGTGATGGGCAGGGGGAGGTCATGGCTGGGCTCAACCAATCAGGAGGCTGCATTACAGGCTGGTCAGGGGCTTACTGAGGGGGCTTGTGCCTTCCACTAGAATTGGGCTTGGGGATGTGCCTCCCACACTCAACCTTTTTCCTCTGCAGTTAGCCGGGTGGTCTGGAATAGATTGTTGGTGTGTGAGATGATTTCAGTAGCGTGGTTGTGGACTGTGACTTCTGACTCCCGCTTTTCCCTGTTTGTGTCCCCAGGTATTGCCCTGTACCCTGGTCAGGCCCAGCTGCTCAGCTGTAAGCACCACTATGAGGTCATTCCACCTCTGAGAAACCCTGGCCAGCCAGGCGACATGAACTGCACTACGCGGACGATCAACTACACGGACCCTTTCTCCAATCAGACCTTGGTAACTCCCGTTGCCCCGAGCCAGGTCTGGGCAGCTGCTCTGCTAGCCCTGAGGGCCCAGGTCCTCCTCTTCCCAGGAAGCCTCCTCACACTGCCTCAGGCTTCATTGAATGGCCCTCAGGGATTCTCAATAGGGTGAGGCCTTGTCCTCGATGGCAGAATGGCTGGGCTAAAGAGTGGGGCTGACGTGACACAGTCGAGTGGGTTCCCTGCCTGACTGCATGACAGTTACCAGGATACTTTTTGAAAATGCAGACTCCCAGGATCCACATGAGACCAGCTGGATTAGAATTTCTGCAAGGCACAGGGCAGTACCTGGGGATTCTCCAGGGACGAGGACTCCTGGGCCCGGCCCAGCTCAGTTGTCACACAGCACAGCTCAGTTGGGGTATGACAGGTTGGGGCTCTGAGTGTGTTGGGGAGCAGCGGTGCCTGCACAGGGTTTTTCAGGCAGGGAGGAGACTTTCTACGTATTCACATTTTTACTCTTCTACCCCATATTTCTTCAGAAGGGATTGAAAGGGGCCACGTAAAAGTTTTCCAGATGTAAGGGGAAAGGAAGGGTTTCCTAGGCAGAGGAAACTGTCCGTGAAGACGGAAGGGCAGAGGGTGGCAGGTGGCTTCCGTGCCTCCGGGCAGCGTTGCACGGGTGGGCATTTCTGAGGGTCGGTGCTCCTGCAAGAGTGCTGGGCCGTGGGAAGAGCCGCGGGCGTCATGCTGTGGAGCCAGGCTGGCTCCTGGGGCAGAAAGGCACTGTTAGTGGGTTTTAAGATGAAAAGAGGCACCAGAGTTGTAAGTTTGTTTACGTCAGACTTCCTTCTAAAATCCTGCTGAAATTGTTCCCTCTCCTGCAGGAAAATAAGTAGGATACCATAGAATATCAGTAATGCCTCTGCCAACTGAGGGTGTCACTGGCAGACCTGATCATTTGAGGAAGTGGTGTAAAATATAAATAGCGGTTTGGAACTGATTGGTGGAATAAACAAATCTGAGAAAACCCATAACAGAACAGGTGCATGAGAGGGCTGCTGTGGAGGGGCAGACTTCGCTACCAGCCCCCAGCCTGAAGTCAGCACTGCCAGTGGGCTGCCTGGGAGAGCCCCCGTGCGCCGTGGCCTCGTCCAGAGTCCGCCTTGTGTCTGAAGTGCACATTAGGGTGGGAAGTGGCTTCAGAGTTGAGCACCTGCAGATTTCTCCTCGCACTGCCTTTGTTTGCAGGGAGTTTATTTGGAAACTTGTAGGCTTCTGGCTGTTTTGTGTTGAATGTGAAAGTCACTCTCCTTGAGCATCTCACCCCTTGGTTTTACAAATCTTCAGGTTCTCGTTGATTCATTATTTTCTGGTTCCTCTCTTGTGCTCAACTTAATGGTATTAGCTTGTGCCAGATGGCTTGCTCTGTCTGGCATTGTGAGGGTCCCTGTCCGTTTCCTTCCTGCCTACTGCTTTCCCACCACCCAGCCTTTAAGCCAAGACCTCATTAGGTTTCTTGTTACAAAATTCCACTTCTAGCTCACAGAGTCTGTGTTAGAGCATAAGCTCAGATCCTCTGTAGCGGCAAAACTCTCAGAATGGTGGCTGAAATGACAGAAGTCTCTGGTTCTGTCTCTGGAAACGGCATAGGCAGTGCTGCCTCATAGGATTGTCCAATGATGGCTTCTGTCTTGTCCCTGTGCTGTCTTCCAGGCACTGTTCTGGTCCACTTGGCTGGCATGTGTGCACATGCCCACTCGTGGGAAGGTGAGAGGCAAAGGGCAAGCAGTTCCCTTTTTTTTTTTTTTTTTGACAGGCAGAGTGGACAGTGAGAGAGAAGACACAGAGAGAAAGGTCTTCCTTTTGCCGTTGGTTCACCCTCCAATGGCCGGCGCTGCTGGCACGCTGTGGCTGGCACACCGCGCTGATCCGAAGGCAGGAGCCAGGTGCTTCTCCTGGTCTCCCATGCACGTGCAGGGCCCAAGCACTTGGGCCATCCTCCACTGTACTCCCAGGCCACAGCAGGGAGCTGGACTGGAAGAGGAGCAACCGCGGCGCCAGCCAAGCAGTTCCCTTTAAAAAAAAAAAAAAGTAATGCTGAGTTGCATGAGTCACTTTTTCCCCCATATTGGGAACCTTGTCACATGAGCCCATCTGAGGCTGGCGGTAAGGTTCCAGCAGGTGACTGCTCCGCTGCGGTCTGGGACCGGGAACGCAGTTCTCGCATACTGGAGGAAGACATCGATAATGGAAACCAGGGACCGTTAGCCTTCTCTGATGCACACTGAAAATTAAATGTCACCCAGAGTGTGAGAGGTAATAGATGGATGAAGACCTCTTGGGAGAATGCAAAGATAACCTATCAGAAGATAAGGGAGTGGCTATATTACTGCCAGTCAAAATGGATTCCAGGGCAAGGGATTGAACGAGGAGTGTTTAATGGTAATAAGTGATTCACTCGCACTAAAGGAGAGTGAGCAGCTGTAAATCTTTGTGTCATTTATATGCTTCAACTGGAGCCTGTTTAAAATCAAAAATAGCCTCAACTTCTTAGAGTGTGGCTTTCACACCTCTCTCTGCAATTCAGAGTTCAGAGAGACAAAAAGTGGTAAGGACAAGAATGGAAAGCACAGTTAGTAAGTGTAGAGTGCATGGATGTGTGTGTATAAAACTCTGACATTACATTCTTTTGAAGACCTGTAGGACATTTCTAGAAAGCTGATAATTTTCTCCCCATATTAATTCATCAGTTAAGTTTCATCACAGTTGGAAGTCCTAATGGTTTTTTTTGTGGAAGTACAAGCTAGTTTTCAAGCACATTTAGAAGACCATGTGTACATAAATAACCAAGATGAGTTTGGGAGGAGTGATGCGGAGCAGACCTGCCTAGTTAGATAGCAAAACACTGTAAAACCATAGGAGTTGCAGTGTAGTGCTGAGATAGGCAGGGACACTTGTGGGCCGTATGAGGGCCTGGAGGAGACGTATATGTTGGCTCTACTTGAATTTAGTATAGGATAAAGGAGGGAGGGGAAGGCCTACACCTGGATCTACCAATTGTTGGGTGGGGATGGGAGGTGGGGTGGGTGGAGGAGCTAGGAGTTAGATTCCTGTCTCATATAATGTAGAAAACTTAAAGCCAGATAGATAAAGTATGTACATGTGAAAAGGATTTTAAATGGGATGGTGTTGCAGAGTAGTCGGTTAAGTGGCTGCTTCTGATGCCAGCATCCCATTTGGGTGCTGATTCGTGTTCCAGCTGCTCCACTTCCCATCCAGCTCTCTGCTGATGGCCTGGGAAAAGCAGGGGAAGATGGCCCACATGCTTGTACCCCTGCAACCAAAGTGGGAGACCGGGAAGAGGCTCCTGGCTTCAGCCTGACCCAGCCCTGGCCAATGTAGCCATCTGGGGAGTGAACCAGCAGATGAAGATCTCTCTCTCTCTCTCTAACTCTAGCTTTCGAATAAATGAATCTTACTAAAAAAAGGGTTTTAGAAATATTGAGATTATTTATGTATAGAAAGACCATAGAGGTTTCAGTCTATTAAATTGAAAGCTTCCATGTAACACATGGCATTAGAAGCAAAGTTAAAAGTGACTGGAAGAAAACATTGGCATATAGAACAAGGGCAAGTGACCCTTCTTACTAAATGAAGAACTTCCATCACATCGCACAACTAGCCAATAAGCTAAGTGGGCTGAGCATGAGTTGCCTTGTGTTTGCTTTGGGCGTTGTGCTGAGAAAACTATGCAGATCTGAGCAGGAGCCCCAGCTGAGGCCCCAGCTCGCTGAGTAGCTGGTGGTCATGTGAGAGGCTGCTGGGGGAGGAGCTGTGGGCTTTCTAGGCTGTGCTTCTGCCCTCTGCCCCAGAAAACCCTCCTGTGCCATGCCTGAGGCCAGGGCCCGGAGGGATTGTTTATACGTAAAGGGTTATGGCCTATAAACCCTGAGCTTCTGAGACAGATCCCGGCCCTTGTCTCCCTACAGAAGTCGGCCTTGATTGTCCAGGGACCCCAGGAAGTGAAGAAGCGGGAGCTGGTTTTCCTGCAGTTTCGCCTGAACCAGAGTAGCGAGGACTTCAGCGCCATCGACTACCTCCTCTTCTCATCTTTCCGGGAGTTCCTGCAAAGGTGGCCTTTCAGAGTCACGCTGGGCTCACTCTCTGCTTTGATTCTTACTCCAGTCTTGCCTGTCTGTCATTAGGCTGAGGACATGGCAGGTGAGGGCAGAGGCAGGGAAGTGGTGCTGCCCGATGACGCACCGGCTCAGGGATGGCCCTCATGTGCTTGGTGCTCCGTGAGACGCCTCGCTCCAGAGTTACACGAGGCTGCCGTGGAGGACCGTGCTGGCTGCTCCTGGAGAGACCCTTGCCTGGGGATGCTGAAGAGTAGAGGAAGTCCTTTGAAGGCAGGTCCCCTGCTCGATGCCTTGATTTCCCTGCGGTGTGCACGGGAACCATGTCTTGCCCTTGGTAAAGGCTCAGTGTGTGTTTGCCGTAGGTACCCCTCTTAGGAGGGTGTGAGGGGTGCAGGGCTGCACACTCTTGGTGTTTGCTTGTGAATGTCCCCTGATCATCAGAAAGGTCCTGTCTGCTTCATGCACACTGCTTTGGGAACTCTCAGTTGCCAACTCTGAGGCCTAAAGTGCACCTTAGCAGTGAGAGCATTTTCTGCATGTGCGGGAGCTGAGGGCGACTCACTCCCTACCAGGTCCTGCTCAACCAGGGAGCTCTGTTCGCAGGTGGAGGGGAGGCGGCCACGGTGGCAGAGTGGCCAATGCCACTCTGTCCTTCCTGCCCTGGAGCTCAGAGCCTCTGCTCTAGCGGCTTCCACCCATTCTGCCACCCGCAGTTCTCTCCCTTCCTGGCTCACACTGGCCTGATTGCCTTCTGGAAGAGTTCCCAGAAGGCCCTGCCTACAGCTCAGTGGGTGAGCTTCCTCGGTGCTGGGCTGCAGTTGCTACTTGCTCCTGTGCGCTTTGGTTTTTCTGCATGTGCAGTGCACTGGGGTGTTCCTGTGGCTGAATGCTCCCCGAGGAACCCTCTTTTCCTCTCTGCTCCTTCGAGAGGGAGACGACAGGCCAGTGAGGGCTGCCTTGAGTCCTGCGTTCTCTGAGAAGCTGGGAGCACTGTGGCGCTGGGAGCTTCTGCAGACCTAAGTGCCAATTGCCTTGGGAGCAGGTGGTAGGAATGATGAGTGGGAGGGGGGAAGCATCCTCCCATTGGGAGATTAATGATTTCTGCTTTGGCTGGTGACTGACAAACAGCCCCACTGAGGCAACCTAAATTTGGGGAAGCAGGGAGTGGGCAGCGTCCTGATTGCGCTAGCAGAGAAACAACTTGAAGTAGGGCCTGGAGTTTGAGTCCGCCCACATTTTAGTTCCAGTGCCCAGCTTGGATTGACTTGGACCTTTCTTCTCTTTGCCCACCAAGCCCAGACAAGGTAGGCTTCATGCAGGCCTGTGAGAGTGCCTATTCCAGTTGGAAGTTCTCTGGGGGCTTCCGCACCTGGGTCAAGATGTCGCTGGTGAAGACCAAGGAGGAGGATGGGCGAGAAGCAGTGGAGTTCCGGCAGGAGGTAGGTGGCTCCGGGTGTGCTTGGAACTGCTGGTGACTTCTCCATGGTTGGTCTGGCATGGGGGAGGAAGTCCTTTGAGCAGAGTCCTCTGGGTGATTTGTCCTTTGCCAGGGTGAGAAGGAATCCCATGAGGGCTTCATATGCTGTGCCAGGGTCTGCATGTTCCTAAAGGCAGTGCGTGTGCTGGCCTCACCTCTGTCATAGGCAGCCCTCAGAGAACAGGCATAGGCAGTGGGGATCGCTGTGTCATGTAGAGGTGGGTACCTCGTCCAGCTGTGTCTGATGCCTATAGGCAGTGGCACTATGAGAGGCTGGTGGTAGCGTAGTTAATCAGTTCCATGCCGGGAGAGAGGCTACAGGCAGTGGCCTCTGATGGGTCCTGTTTACCATGATCCCTTGGGAGGCAGCAAGAAAAGCCAAGCTTTCTTTCTGTATGTATGTTTTTAAAGATTCATTTATTTATTTGAAAGAATTAAAGAGAGAGAGAGAGGTCTTCTACCCGTCCATTTATTCCCCAAATGGCTGCACTGCGGAGCTGTACCTATCCAAAGCCAGGAGCTTCTTGCAGGTCTCCCACGTGCGTGCAGAGTCCCAAGGACTTGCACATCTTCTGCTTGCCCATGCCTTAGCAGAGAGCTGGATCAGAAGTAGAGCAGCTGGGACTCAAACCGGCGCCCATATGGGATGCTGGCACTGCAGGCAGTGGCTTTATCTGCTGTCCCCTGTATTTTTTTTTTTTCTTCAAAGATTGATTTATTTACTTGAAAGACCACAGTAGCAGAGAGGGGAAGAGACAGAAAGATTTTCCATTGGCTGGTTGACTCCCCAAATAGCCACAATGGCCTAGGATGGGCCAGACCAAAACTAGGAGTCAGGAGCTCCATCCCCGTCTCCCACATGGGTGGCAGGGACTCAAGTGCTTGAATCATCATCTACTGCGTCGCAGGCTCATTAGCAGAGGATTGGATTGGAGTAACCAGGACTGGGAGGGGAACTCTGATACGGGATGTGAGTGTCGCAGGTAGCAGCTTAACCCACCTGCTCCTTCTGTATTCATTTTATCTTACCTTTTTAACATTCCTATTTTTAATGTTTTAAAATGTATATAACATTAGAACAGTAATAGCATATGCTGTATCACAAAGTTACAAATTTAAATGTACTGGGTGCATACAGAAACCTTTTAAAAGGGAGAGCTACTCAAAATGCTTTTAGCCCACTGGCCTGGGGGCCAAGATAGGATCCTGGAAAGATACCCCTGTAATCTTGACCATGGCAGCAGGGTTGGAGATGGGAGATCTTGGCTGCCTCAACAGGGCTGTTGATGGGTCCCCATGTCTGTTTCTGGGGCTTCCACCTAGGCACTGGCTTTGCCTTCTTCCTGCATCCACGTCAAGAGCCAGACTGTCCTGTGCACGAGTGACCTGGTGCTGCGGAGGAAGCAAGAGGAGACATGTCCTCTCCCCCTTGCTCCTCCTTGGGGGTAGTCCAATTGGACTTATCCCTGAGGGCCAGCATTAGGAAAGGTCTGGGTTGAATATAAAGACTGACTGGGCCATCTTTGGCCAGCTCTGTGTAAGTCTTGAAACTGCCACTTTGCATGCCTTGAGTCCTAGGCCTGTTCCGGGTTGGATTCTCAGAGAGGCTCACAGCTGGTTTTCTTAAAGGGGGCAGGCCATTTTTTCCTGCCTTAGGAGATGACAGTACCTCCCCTCCATCCCCTGCAATAGATCAGTAAAATAGTCCTATTTTGTAAGGTAACTGTCATCTCCTGGACTTTCACGCCACATTTTGTTCCAGGAATTCCAAGTCCTTTCTCATCTGGGCCCACACCAGCTCCGAGAAGGGGGCTGTGTGTGTCCATTCACCCTGCAATTGGGTACAACCCCATTTACCTTAACTCTCCTCCAGCTATGATGTGAAACCAGAGGGGTGAAAACCCCAATGGACCTATAAACTTGAAAACTCTTATTGTCTAAATTCATAGTCTTTTGGTGGGATCATGAGAGCTTTTGAACAAAACTAAAACTGTTTTCTATCATGTTTTGGAGTTTAAGATGTTTTCACGTAGCTTGTTTCTTATGGCCCTCACCAGATGCAGTGAGGTAGGCATTTTGTCCTGTCTTATGGGTGGCAAAGCAGAGGCTCAGAGCAGGCCGTGGACCCAGGCCTCTGCCTCTGGAGCCTGTCCCTCTCTGTTATGGCACACAGCCTTGTGTTATTTTTATTTGAAAGGCAGAGTCAGAGAGACAGAGAGAGGTTTCCCATCTGCTGGTTCACTCTCCAGATGGCTGCAACAGCAGGGGCTGGGCCAGGCTGAAACCAGCTTCTTCCAGGTCTCCCATTTGGGTGTAGAGGCTCAAGGACTTGGGCCACCCTTCACTGCTTTCCCAGGCCATCAGCAAGGAGCTTGATTGGAAGTGGAGCAGCTGGAACTGGGACCAGTACCCATATGGGATGCTGGCGCTTTAGGCAACGGCTTAACCACTACGCCACAGTGCTGCCTCCCACTGGTAAGTATTTACAGGGAGTGTGTAACGTGTCTCTGAGGCTGTGCTTTCTCCCTGGAGACTCGAATGGTTGATAGACCCAGCTCTGCAGGTCAGGATTTTAAGTTTTGAAGTTTTTATTGCTTTAATTATGAATTGCTACGGTAGTTTGATTATGGTATATTTGTTTAATTAGGTACCTAATGACGAGTTTTAGAACTAATCCACACTGCTTATTGTACATCCGGATTCTCTTTCCCAAAGAACCATGGAAGCCAAGGTAAAGCCTTGGGTCTGGCACCAGTTTCAAGAGCTCGTGTACATGAAATTTTTGGCTCTCAGGATGCTGGTGTGGGGAGAGCCCAGGTCCGAGTTCACCTTCTGCTCTGTCTTCTGCCATGGCCCCGGGCAAGGGAGTCGCACCCAGAGGTGCCCACGCTGCTTTTCTCTCTTCTGTGTCTAGACGAGTGTGGTGAACTACATTGACCAGCGGCCAGCCACTGAGAAAAGCGCTCAGCTGTTTTTTGTGGTCTTTGAGTGGAAAGATCCTTTCATCCAGAAGGTCCAAGACGTGAGTACGGTTGAAGTCCTGAGAGCATCCCCTGCCTGCAGCATTTGCCTCGGCCTTGCAGACCGGGCTCTTCCATGGCCCATGGCACTGCGGCTTTGGCTTCAAGGACGCTGGTATTACATGTATGGTTTGTGTCCTCCATCACCAGACCGTAGTCTCTATAAAGGTGGCGTCCTCCTCATTTTGTTCACCATTCATCTGCTATCTAGCAGAGTGCCTCGCACAGAGTAACTGCCGTATCTGCTGAGTCATATTAACTGGATAAACTAGGTAGAAAGCATTGATTTACTCCACGGATCATTGTTACTGATGGTCACTTCTTTTTGGCAGAGTCCCTGTTATTTGTGGTAAGTCAGCACAGAAAGGTATGGATAATGAATAAACTGTCAATTCATGCTGAATCGCCAGACTCGCAGCCTTGGAAAGGGAGCAATGATTGGTCAGCTGTGCCCTCGAAGCACTCATGACCCGTTGTCCACCAGAGCCAGTGTGGTCTAATGTTGATTGGCATTCAGGTTACCACAGGATGTCCCCACATGATCATGGCTCAGGGTAGGCAATTTTTAACTGAGACTCACTCTTGTAAGCTTCCAGCCCCAGATCCACTTCTGTGAGGCGGACGTGTTCTCTCACCCAGTTACTGCTGTTTGTTGTAGATTGGAAGGCTGTGGACGAGGGCGCATGTGCAGAGGCTTAGAAATACCCTGTAGAAAGGAATACCTTTCAGCTCTGCATGTGAAATGTGTGATTGAATTTTTTTATGTTTATTTTCATCTACTTGAAAGGCAGAGCGACAGAGAGGAGGAGAGAGAGAAAGCTTCCATCTACTGGTTCACTCCCCAAACGCCCGCAATAGCTGGGCCTGGGCCAGGCTGAAATCAGGAGCCAGGAGCTCCATCCGTGTTGCCCACATGGGTGGTGGGGCTCAAGCAGTGAGCCGGCACCTGCTGCCTCTTGGAGTATGCACTAGCAGGAAGCTGGATTGGAAGCAGAGCAGCCAGGACTCAAGCTGCTGACAGGATGTGGGTGCCCCAAGTAGTGACTTAACCTGCTACACCCCAGCACCTGCTCCTGAACTTTTAAAAACCTCTATCCGGTATGAGAAGCCTATCGGGAACCATGCAGAGACCCAAACATGAGGCAGGCTTTACTTTGGCCAGTCAGCTCCCAGCAGTCCTAAACGAGAACAGTGGTAAACCACTGTGCATGTGTGAGCGCTGAGGCTCCGACTATCCAAGGTCACCCTGCTACATTGGGTTTAAAAATGTTTATTTTTTTCCATGCTTGAGCATTCAGAAATCCAAGCTAAAGCCTCTACTTTGAAGTTTACATTTAGTTAAGGAGTAATCTATTGGCTTAAAGTGGTAATTCCAGACAGTAAGTATCTGTCAGAGGAGTTTGTGGCACAATATGTGTGGCTATGCCGAAACCACAGAAGGTTTGGCTTGGTGCTCAATGCCCTGACCCTCTGAAGGGTTAGTGAGGGCTTCCAGCACGGGAGCGCCTGGGCCAAGAGGAGCCAAGGCCTGGAGGTAGGAAGCCCTGAGGTGAGTCTGGGAGGGAGAGGAGACGCCTCACGCTGAGTAAGTGGGAGACGGGGAGAAAGGAGAGCTGACCTCCGTGTACGGTTCTGGGAAGTGTGTCTCATAGCAAGACCGCTCCTCACTGTTGGGTTAGGCCGCGGAGGCCAAGCCTCGTGTTGACAATCTTCTTGGCACAGAGCTTCTTGGGAAAACAGTTTAGTCTCTGAATCACTGTATTAGGGGAGGGGCTTGTGGTTTTCTCTTCTGCGGGTCTGGTCTGAGTGAAGCAGAGTTGACAGTTTCAGAAGTCAGGTGTTGATCTCGCCCCAGGCCAGAACTGTAGTGTGACTGACTAGTCAAGATCAGAGCGGGTGGCAACCTGTGTTTGCTTTTGTTTCACAGATAATCACTGCCAACCCTTGGAACACTATCGCTCTTCTCTGTGGGGCCTTTTTGGCATTGTTTAAAGCGGCAGAGTTTGCCAAACTGAGCGTGAAATGGATGATTAAAATTAGGAAGAGGTACCTTAAAAGAAGAGGTCAGGCAACAAACCACATCAGCTGAAGTCGCCCTGTGATGTTTGTGGAACCGCCCGTGTTCCTGGAAGCTCTCGTCACTTCCACCCTGCACACCGAGCTACCGGCGAGTCTCTGCCGCCTTGAAGAAATGAGGCCCTGCTGGGAGGACCCCTGTCAAACTGCAACCTCCAACCCGGCCCCCAAGGAGGCTGATTAGAGCCTAATGGGAAAGACCCAATGGTAACCTAAGAGCTATTTAAGTATTTAAATTATTCACGAACATTTGAAAGAGCCGCCCAGTGACTTAGGCTCCAGGTTTGTGAAAGCCACCCTTCGTCCTTTGTGGCTCGCCGTGTAGTCAGTGCCCTGACACAGTGATTACGGCTCTGCTCTTCACTTTAGGTTTTCCCCTGGACGGAGAGTGTGATGATTTCTTTTTTTTTTTTTAAACACAGATCTTGTTGAGATGGACGGGACGTGCTTTGAAACCTACGCATTGTACATAAGGGCAAAACACTTAAGACTTTCCTGCCTCTGGTGGGCTCTCTCCCCGTTTAAACATAAAATGAGACCTTAAAACTACTGGAAAGTGTAATTAAATTTCGTATGGATCGATTAGTCACCTGCCTGTTTGGCTGGAATATTTGTTGGTGCAGATATGAGTTCGACATGATTAACACTCAGAAGCACTAGGATAGATGTATACAGTAGATGCTTACTCAGTGTATCTTGCTGATTTCATTAACAGGTAAGTAAGTTAGGTTAAATCAAAAGGAAGGAGTGAGTGTGCCAGTGTCAACAACTGCTAAATCAGTAGGCACCAATAGTGGTTCATCCTGTGACTTCCAAAAACGAGTTCGCTGCACTCCCAGGCGGACGGCTCTGACTCCTGACGTGCGTGCTGACTGCTCCCAGGGAAGGGTGGGGAGGGCATGGCGATGACGGCAGGAGGCAGGGAGAGCGACAGAGTAAGCTGTGGTGACTGTTCACTGTGTCCTGCAGAGCCGCCATCCGAGAAAGGGGCTCTCCGCCTGACGCTGCGCTGAGACAGGTACCGCTACAAAGAAGTCACAGGCATTTTCCACATTGATCGAAGGTTGTAAAAATTGTTTCCAGAGTTTTGAAGTATTTACATACCCGTTGCATCTGAAGAGGACAACTCACATGTATGACTAGGGCATTTTTCTCTTGTGTCTGATGGCTAGCCAGAGGCTGTTCTTTGGTTGAAGTATTAAAGGTGAACTTGTGTAAGAAAATACTCCCTGCTGCTTTCTGCTCCACAGGAGCTGGAGAAGTCAGGTTGCAGCCTCAGTCTCTACAAGTGCAAAGCCAGGCATAGAGTTAGATTGAGAGAACTCAAGAAGAGACGTGTTGTCCCAAAGCTTCCCTAACGATGACCGGTCAGTCAGTTTCATGTGGCCCACATAGCTAATAAAGTGGCCTCCGTGAACACAGTGGAACTATTTCCTGTGCTGTGGAAAGTTGAGACACATCACATGTGCTTTGGATAGCAGATGATTAGGAAGGGAGTGAACCTCTTTACTGTTCAAAGAGAAATAGATTTCAGCAACTCTTAGTGCAGCGCGTCAAAACCCACTCTGGTTGCCTTCAGTAAAAGAAATACGTATGTCCCTAAACACACCAGGAAAAGAAGACCTGCTCCTTACTCTCTGGACAGTCAGGAGCTTGCCTTGCCTTTGACGTTAGATTGTGGTGTCCCCGTAGTCAGCAGTGCTGCCTGGCTTTGGGTTAGCGTGGAGACTGGAAGGAACAGCTCGATCTGGGTGGCCATGCCAGGGTGGCCCTGGAACACCACTGCTCGAGAACCCTGGGGGTGTGAGCCGCCACACTGAAAGGGAGAGTGAGCCTCTGCTGGCACCACACGGAGCAGGAGCTGCTTTCGCAGCAGCTCAAGTAGGAATAATGTGCACAGCCTGTGCTTGAGTTGAACTGATGTTGAAGAGGAAGTAAACCGGAGTAGTTGAAAACATTGTCAAAACGACAGTTATTACATTGTCAGACACTGCCTAACTTCTCATTGCCCTTCTCCAGAGTGCTATTATTATGGATTGTGGTAATAATCCTTGGCCTATTTTAATCATGTTAACTTAAAAGATTAAGGGGACCATTGTGTGGCATAGCAGGGTAAGCTGCTGCCTGTGATGTCAGTATCCCATGTGGGTGCCAGTTTGCTGCTCCACTCCCAATCCAGTTCCCTGCTAATGCTCCTAAGCAGGGGAAGAAGGTCCAAGTACTTGGGCCCCTGGCACCCGTACGGGGGACCTGGATGAAGTTCAGGGCTCCTGGTTTCAGCTTGGCCCAGCCCTGGCCATTGTGGCCATCTGGGGAATAAACCAGCAGATGGAAGATGGATCAGTCTAACTTCAGTGTGTGTGTCACAGATCAGCTGGCTGCAGATTTCTTTCAAGGTGCTCTTTTCTGTGGGTATATGTGTTGGTTTTTACGCTGCTACCATTCTGTTTTGTGGTTCCATGCATATTAGTAGTGTTTTTCCTAGGTCTGTGAGAAGTATCATTGGTGTTTTCATAGGGATTGCATTGAACTTATAAATTGCTTTGAGTTTGTGCTTTTCTTTTTTTTTTTTTTTGTAAGATTTATTTACTTGAAAGGCAGAGTTACATAGAGAAAGGGAGAGACAGGAATCTTCCATCTGCTGGTTCACTCCCCAAATGGCCACTACAGCTGGGCCTTTCTGCATCTATTGAGATGATCATGAGGTTTCTGTCCTTCATCCTATTGATAGGGGATGTCATGGTCATTGATTTGCATATGTTGAACTATCATTGTACTTCTGGGATGAATTCCACTTGTCATGGTGAGTAATCTTTTTAATGTTCTGTTGGATTCAGTTTGTTTGTATTTTAAGGGTTTTTGTATTTATATTCTTCAAGGATATTGGCCTGTAGCTTTCTTTTTTTGTTGTGTCCTTGTCTGGTTTTGGTATCAGGGCAATGCTTGCCTCTTAGAGTATGTTTGGAAGAATGACATCTTCTGTGTTTTGGAATAATTTAAGAATTGATGTTAGTACCTTAAGTGTTTGGTAGAATTCAGCAGTAATGGGCTCTTCTTTGTGGGGAGACCTCTTACCTCATTACTGACTCAGTGTCACTGTTTGTTATTGGTCTGATTAGGTGTTCTCTTTCTGACTCGATCTGGATAAGGTGTTTGTGTGTTCAGGAATCTGTCCATTTCTTCTAGGCTAGGCCAAAGCCAGGAGCTAGGAACACCATTCAGGTCTCCCATGTGGGCGGCAGGGACCCGAGTCCTTGAGCCATCACTGCTGCCTCCTAGGATGCACATTAGCAGGAAGCTGGAATCGGAAGTGGAGCCAGGACTCAAACCCAGGTACTCCGATGTGGGATGCAAGTGTCCCAAGTGCTGTTTTAACAGCCGAGCCAAATACCTGTCCCTAGTTATTTTTTTGTTTTTCAGTCTTCATGGTAAAGTCATGGTTTATACATCATGTTTACAATTTTAGAGCATTCTGAATTTGCACCAGTAGGTTTTCTACTTTGATGTTTTCTTACTCGTTAGTGTGTTTTTCAGTTTGAAGAACCTTCTTTAGCATTTCTTGTAAGATGGGTCTTTAACCTGGTAAGCTTGTTACAATGTCTTGGAGTAGATTTAGTTAAGCTGAATCTGATTGGTGACCTCTGACGACCTATAGCTGGGTGGTCGGTATCTTTATTTTGTAAAATTATTTTTTAAAAATTTACTTATGTCAAAGAGTTACAGAAAGAAGGAGACAGATTTTCCGTTCCCTGGTTCATGCCCCCAGGTGGCTGTAACAGCCAGGGCTGGGCCAGGCCGAAGGCAGGAGCTTCATCCAGGTCTCCCATGTTGGTGGTAGGGTCCTGAACACCAAGGCCATCTTCCGCTTTTCCCCAGGCTATTAGCAGGGAGCTGGATTGGAAGTGGAGAAGCTCAGACACGAACAGTGCCCATATGTGATGCCGGCTTTACCTGCTACACCACAATGCCAGCCCTTTTCTCTAGGTTTGAGGAATGTCCTGTTATTATCTCTTTGAATATGCTTTTTTTTTTTTTTTTTAAGGAATTATTTACTTATTTGGAAGAGTGGTTGAGAGAGGAAGAAAGGGAAGGAGGGATAGAGAAAGAGATCAATCCATCTTCCATCTTTTGGTTAACACTCTAAATAGTCAGGGCTGGGCAGGCTGAGGCCAGGAGCCTAGAACTCCATCTGGGTCTCCCAGGTGGGTGGCAGGGGCCCAAATATTTGGGCCACCATTTGCTGCTTTCCCAGGTGCGTTAGCAGGGAGCTGGATTTGAAGTGGAACAGCCAGGACTCGGAACCAGGACTCTGGTGTGGGAGTCAGGATGTGGGAGTCACAAGCAGAGGCTTAACCCATCGTATTACAACGCAGGCCCCTAAATGTGCTTTCTGCCCCTTTGGCTTTGTGAAGTGGTCCTGGAAGTCTAAAAACCGAGATATTTGCTGTCCCAGAATTCTTGTAGGCTTCCCTCCCTCTTCATTCCTATTCTGTCTCTTCCAGCTGTGGGTTTTTCTAATATGTATCTTCAAGCTCACCTCCTGTTCAATCTCTTCTGCTACTGATTGGTGCCTTCTGTTTTTTTCCCATCTCTTATTTCTCCCTGTTAGAAGTATTAAATCATTTCTTTGTTCTTTTGAAGTTTGTTGAATTTCTCAAAAACAGCTATTTTGAGTTCATCTGAGAATATGTAGTTGTCATTTGATAGCTGGCTGGTTTCTCTTACTTTGTTCCTTAAGTAAGATCATGGTTTCCTGAAAATGGTGGTGGTTTTTTTTTTTTTTTTTTTTTTTTTTCCCAGATTGATTTATTTAAAAGAGAGGGAGACACACACACACCTTCCATCTGCTAGATTAGAAGTCGAGTAGCTGGGGCCAATGTTGTGGCACAGTGGGTTAAGCTGCTGATGCCGGCAGCATATCAGATCATGGGTTCAAATCCTGGCTGGTCAGCTTCAGGTACAGGTCCCTGCTAATGCACCTGGCAAAGCAGTGGAAGGTGACCCAAGTACTGGGCCCCTGCCACCCATGTGGGAGAGCCAGATGTGAGATACCCGCATGGAACTCCTGGCTGCTGGGTTTAGCCTGGCCCATCATTGGGTGTTGTGGCCATTTGGAGAGTGAACCGGTGATGGAAGATCTCTTTCTCTGTTTCTCCCTCTCTGTGACTCTGCCTTTCTTAGAAAGTGGAGTAGCTGAGACAGGCCCTTCCCTGAAAGTTCTTGACACTTGGTATGCAATGTTGCAATTTTTCTCCAGTCTTTATATTCTGGCTTGCTTTGTGGCTGTCTTTCTGGAAATTCCAAGGTGGCTGCTTAGTTCTAAACCTGTGGACATTTTGCTATTTCAACTGTCAGCGGTGCTCGAAGTCTAGGTTTGCCCCTGCTGTTAGTGTGTTCCTGTTTCAGCAATAGGGGACACTCCAAGCCCAGATTTGTCCCAGATCTGCAGTTAGTGTGTTATACAGATGAAGTGAAGAAGCTGACTACAAGTGGTAGTGGATCCTTGCAAGCCTCTTTTCCTGGGGCTGGGGTAGAACCAGATGCCTAGTCCTGTGGCCACTGCTGCCGTAATGCTAGATCATACTTGAA